TTTTTTTTTGGCAGAACCGGGGATTGAATTCGCCCTTGCACTTGCAAGGGAAGCGCGCTTATTCCACTGAGCCATCTCCCCAGCCCCCCTGCCTCTTCTTCTACCCTAAACCACAAAGCTACTAAATCACTGGTGTCTTTTTTTGGTAGCATAAAATCCCAGGTATGATTTTATTAAAATCTTAGGTCAGCTAAACTCAGTTGAGGAAAACTCACACATGATTTGGAGCTTTCTTTCTTTCTTTTTTTTTTTTTTATCTTTAAACACCTTAAATTTATTCATTAATAGTTAGCATATATCTGATTCTTAGAATATACAGCTGAAGAGTAGTCTTCATACTAGAAATCAACTAATTATCATACCTTATGTTGAAATGTATATAGTGAAGATCTGCAAAACTTTAATCAAAATCCACTTTCAGTTCGTTAAATAATTTCTTGGGAATTTGGAGCTTTCTTGCCATTCCTCTGAAATATATGGTGTTCCTTTCACACCTGGCACACTTGTACACAGACACACACCCACACCAAATAAAAACTAGGTAATGTCTTCTCATATGGCTGTTCCCCTGGCACCTATGTCACATTCCCTCACTTCATAAACAGTAATGCACGTTCAAGGAATTTGCCTTTGTCCTCTTATTTGATGAAGCATTTCCACAAAGCTCAACTGTGGACACAGGACAGCAGTTCCACCATGTATGTCTTCTCCTTTCTAATCCTTCAGCTCTTTCAGTCTCTTGTTTTTAGCAGTAGCACAGAAAGACACACAGTTACCTTAATGAAATATAATTGAGGACCAAAGAAATCAGGACAAGAGGAAGAAAATGTTAAGATAGTGGTAATGATGAACAGTTGCAACAGCTAAACTTTCCACTAGATACTAATGAGCATATCCTTATGATTCAGATAGAAGAGAGAAGTAGAGTGAAAATGGCAAGAGGCTCTTGCCCCACAGACTATTTTTTCATTGGGTGGCAGTTGCACGAAGGAAAGGGATATTCTGGAATCAACATGCCTGATGAACACCTCTGCCAATAACATGTAGACAGTTGCTGGGAGCTGGTTGTACAAGTCCAGTAGTTATTTAGTCTACACAAAGGCCTCAGTTTTGGAGCAAAGAGAAGCATGTGTACATCTACAACGTATTAAAGGGGAATTTGTTTGCCAAACTTTCTTGGGAGCCTACTTCGTTGATAGCATAGTGCTAGGGGTCAGTACATTACCAGATTACATCACCAGGTGAGGCTAGGAAGACACGCATTATGCCAGAGACTGAGTTGGTTGAGGGCAAAATGACATGAATAAAAATGTCAGCCACCCATAGAACTGCTTAGAAAACTGCTATTAGGGCAGAGACGTGCTTTTCTCAAACCCCTCCTCCTGGCTGTTTTATGAAGTGAATAGCAATAGAATAGGCTTACGTGAGAAAAAAACAACAAAACTATGAAAGCTGGATAATCAGGAAGTGCCAGACATCGTCCCAACACATGGACTTAAAGGTAGAATTATTTTTAAGCCAGTCAAATTTAAGACTTACTCAGAAGAATTAGGCCAACTGACAAAAATTTCATCATTTTTTTTTTTTTTTTTTAGAACTGGGGATTGAACTCAGGCCCTTGTGCTTGCCAGAGAAGTGCTTATTTCACTAAGCCATCTCCCCGGCCCCTAAAAATTTCATCTTATTACATTAATCTGTGGATGATGGCTTGCCAGCCAAGTGAAGATACCTTTAAGGTATCTTCAGGATTAAGTGAGGCTATATGTAGAAGATCAAGAGTAGAAAGGTGCAGTTAGAGTTTTAGGACATGGCAAATTAGACTATGAAATACGTCCTTCCTCTCTGGAGATTCTGAACTCATTGTCACTGTCTCACATATTTATAAAGTAGAATGTTACCACCATAAATAACCTAAATCTTAGATGCTTTACTCTTAAGTAACATCATCAGAGACTTACCAGTAAGAAACACCTCAGAGTAGGAAGTACTGAGTAGAATTATGGTAGACCTTCCAAATACAATGTCTCATCTGCTTGCATGTTTCTACTCAATTGACTCCAGAAGATTGTCCATTAAAATTAAAAATTCTATATTATATCTGACATTATAACTAATTTCTAATAGTCCTATATGAAGCTTTTCTCATTTATTTAGTTAGCTTTTGCCACAGTCTTTTTTTATTTCTTTATCTAAATGCATAACTTTAGGACAGAAAGCCTATGAGGCCAAGTAGCATAGAATACACAGGAATCATTGAGTTCCATTTACTGCCTGGAGTATGATAGCAGAAAAAAAGAATCTGGTCATATTAGAATGCAGAAGAACAACAGGAAAATACTATGCCAGTTAGCTTAAAAAAATTCAGTTAAGGGGCTAGGGAGATGGCTCAGTAGAATAAGCGCTTCCCTAGCAAGCGCAAGGGCCTGAGTTCAATCCCTGGTTCTGCCAAAAAAAAA